GTCATCAGAGGGACATTCAAGGTGTTATTTTTTTATATCTCTCTTTTTCCCTCTCTCACTCTCTCCCTCTCTCTCTGTGTTTCCATCTGTGTGTCTCTCTCTCTGACCATCTATGCGCGTGTGTTGCGGGTATGTGTGTGTTGTGGTTGTTTCTCTCTCTCTCTCTCTCTGTGAGTGAGTGTATGAGTGTGTGTGTGTATGAGTGTGTAAGTGTGTATGTGTGTGAGCGCGCACGCACATGATGAAACCAATCCAATGTGCCAGGATGAGGACAAAAAAAAAAGACTAGCTCTAATCTTATCTTATGTTATGATTGTTTTTTAACTGTGATATAACAAGCAACTTTTTATTGACTACACACAAACCAAACCTATGGTGTGGTCAAAAATTCTTGGCGCAATTTATACTCAAATATTTATTTCACAGGGGAATCATTGTCACCTATGCTTTGCACAGCAGTTTGTATCAATTTGTCTTAGCTTAATCATATTTTTCCAAAACAATTGAGGCTAGATTTTTCTTCATAAATTCATATAAAATATAAACCCCCGTCACGCGGAAAATAGGGTTGTTCATAGCACTTCCCACACACATTTTTCATACGCATAAGGTCTACGCCACATCTCACCAATGACACTTTTTAGCGGCAAAATTTGTTACACAAAATTAATTTTATAGTGGACACATTATTTGCACTAAAGGATATCAAAACATGCTTTCAATAAGCAAAATGTCGCGATTAGAAAAACATGACAGACTTGCTTTTAATGGCGATATTGGCCAAGCTGTAAACCTTTTAAAATCTGTTTTAAAAAACACCCATCTGGATTTTTTTAAAATTAGTATTTATTAAGGAATTTTCTAGAATACAGCTAACAGACGTTAACAAAAACATTGATCTGTTAAGACAAATTGATACAAGTCTTTATGCTAAAATTGGAGAGTCTAGGTTCGATAATTTAGGAAATGTTTGACAAAAAGTTACGCCGCAAATTTTTTACCGCACTATAGATGTGATCTGACAAGCTGGAAACTGCCTGGTTTGTTTGATTGACACACTGTCACATTATCTATTTATTTTTTGTGTATGTCTAGTTGCAAAAACCCGCATATAATTTAGTTTTACAACTTGAGTCTGCAATTTTACAAATAACTTTGTATTTACTAGAGTCTAGGTGAGCCTAGTTATGATCTGAGAAGTTAGAACCAGCCTTAAATTTTTGGTCATCCAAATTTCTTTGGTATGTTGTATTTATGTTATGTTGGCAGCTGCACTTTTAGCTTTGGACAGCTTGTTTGTAATGTTATTTTACTCTACTGGATTTCTGGCGGCTCCAATTGTCTATCTTAAATTTTTTTTTTTTTTGGTAACAGCTGACCTGATTTTAAAAAGCAGTCATATTTTGAAGACTGTTTGTTCATAGAAGCATGTGTGGGATAGGTAGCCTAGTGGTTAGGGAGCCTCAGTTTGGTCTGATAATTGTGTCCTTGGGGGAAAGATACTTTGAATGAATTTACCTATTTGGCTCCATCCTTTCGAAGATCAGATGGACGTTAAACTCGGAGATCCCGTCTCTTTAATTACCTTGTAGTGTTGATAGGGGCATTAAACCTCTACCGTTTCACCCTAGAAGTATAACATACTAAACTTTCTGATAGATTTCAGACCATTGTATTGATGTCACTAGTATCATGTTTAGCACTTGGCACGGGGAGAAACACTGGAGTCTGTGGTGCAGCAGTTAGGCACTCCACCATCACACACAGAAGACATGAGTTTGATGTCATTGTGGGGAGCTCTTTTGTTTCATTGAATATTTGTCCATATGTCAGCTGGGATGTTTTTATCCCTCTCAGGGTCAAAACAGCCCGACTCCAAAATGAACTAAATTGTGGAGATGGGGGTGTAAAACATTTCTGTCACCATGTGAATCAGGCGCTCGTCAATTTTTGGGCATGTGGAGTTATTGGTATCATCTGAAAGCTGATTTATTTGCCTTGCTTTCAATAAAATTAATATCCATTTATCTTGAATAGAACTCAAGATATTTTCGATTGAAGGAATCGAGGTTGCCTGGTTTCAGTGGTCAAATTACCGAGAAAATAGCCGTCAAAGTTTGCTCCAATAACTAAAGTTTTTGAAAACTGAAAAATGACATATTTTGTGTCTTTAATGAATGTTTTCAATATAATTCTCATGGAAATGTATTTTTATATGAAGATAAAGGTGTTGAGCCAAAAAAAAACAAAAAACAGAAATTTCATTATTTTGACAAGCGCCTGATTTCACCACAATGCCTCACATTTACAATGACAATGTAGAATGATTTACCAACGGTTACTGTGACTACCTGTTATGCCTATCAACACCACAACACAAAAGCCAACATGCATCTTAAATTAAATACATGTGAATAAGTACCCCAGATGTCTTCAAACACATCTGTAACTTACAACAAGGGTTTTTTGAGGCAGAAGTAAAATTTTGGTGGTAGTAGGCACAGGTGTCAAGGGGTCTGACTATAGTGTCGTTTTTGTCTTTTTTCTTGGGGGGGGGGGGGCACCTTCTTTCAAAAGAAAAAGGTTTGACTGTGCTCGTTGTACTTAGCAAGGAAGGAAAACCAATGAGTATAGTCTACTAGAGTATTAGAGGATTCTATTTATGAGCTTCAGCAACCAAAGAAGAACGAAAGAATGGGATTAACGGGTTGATGTGTAAAACAAAATGATTTAATGATTGGATCAAAAAGCATAAAGTAACATTATGGGCTGAACCAGCAGAAATGTTTATCAATATATGACATATGAATACAATTTCAATCTCAATAAAATAAACATCAGCAATTTACAGAGGCTCAAAATACCTGAAAGGTAACAGTCAGTGAGCTTCTGGACGCATAATAATATACTTTCTCAAGACCCAGTCAGAGACACTCAACACTATAACATCAGATCACAAAACAACAATGAAAATAACATCACATGGGATTGGCTTTGGCGTAGTTTAAGTGATCAGGAGGCTAAAATGTCCTTTCAAGTTCCCAAACTGCCATATCCGAAGCAGTTATGGAAATTTGAGACGGGTGGTAAGCTGCATATACAATAACAACATTACAAAATAAATGACATTCCTTGTTTGTTTGCAGGACCGGACTCTTACAATGATACCTGCTAAGTCTCAATGACACAATGATAATCCCACAGGGAATATAACATTACCAACAAGATATTTACAAGAACACAATGCATCCAAGTCACTCAAATCACTGAACTTGAGCAGTTTCTCTTCCACGGGTAACATTCGTACAATAGTTCTCATTATGGGTCACTGGCTGTGTACGCTGTGTCACTGTATGCGTCTCGTAATCCGACAAAATGAGTCACTACGGGTATCAATTAATAATTAAACAGGGATGCCACTGGGATTTTGTGGAAAAAAACTGAAAATGTACAGAACTGCATGTCTGCAAGCAAAAAGAGAGTCAACTGACACAACTATTACAGGGTGAAACAATACAACTAACTTCTTGTGAACACAAAGAAAATAAAGAAAAAAAACCCACCCCAAAAGAATGGCACCACTAATTATCTTTGTGAAAACAGTACCTGTCTAATTTTCAAAGGTATAATTGCTTGAAGTTGGAAAGACACTAACACACAGTTCTTGAAAAAAAAAAAAACATTTCGAGGTTTTGCCTGATATTTTGAAGTAGAGGTGAAAGCGACAAGTGACTCATTTTGTCATGTTGGTGCACATACATATAATGGGTTGTTTTTCTGTGCAGGCAGTTCAGGGGTCTCACAACAGTACTGTTAGCCTTGCTTACTTAAAGTTCCGTCCCAGGAGGCAGAAATTAGGGTCATGATAGCACGTCCTTGTGGGGCTTCCTTGTTTCAAATGGCATACCTTGTAGTTCACGAAGTCCCTGGAGATAGAAAAGATTATATTATCTGGCTGCTGCCACCATGAATGTTTAGGTGCGCACAGAGTAGAACACAGTGGTCCAAAAAACATTGAACAAACATCAGAACACACGAGGACAATACACTTGTATCTCTCAAAATTAAACGGCTTCAGAAGACATAAAAGCACTTAAACAAATCAATACCTTAATTTGTGGAAAGAGCACACAGATTACATTATTTTGACAGGATACTCGCTAAGCAAGCAAACACACCAAACATTACCACTGATAAATCTTGTTCTATAATATACTTTCAGTGATCAATTTTTATAATGTGCACCAGTACTGCTGTACAAAAGCAAAGAGATGTAAATGCACATTCCTTGATTTTGATAAATTTGAAAAAAACAACTATTTGACGCTT